CGGGGGCAGGGAGAGAAGGGAGATTGCCAGAAGAACAGGGATCAGTCGCAGCCTTGAGAAGCCAACAGCAGGCCCTCTCAAACCAGTGCCCCTTTTCCCAAGACCCGTCTGCCAAATAGGGCTAATGCCACAAAAAAATGGAAAGCTGTATAGTGATTGCGCCTAAGACGGGTTTTTTTTAAAAAAATAAAACACAAAGTCTCTATATTTCTGAGGTAGTGCATGTAATCGGGGTTGACAAGCAGTAAGATATTCAAAAAAACACAAACCCTTTTTCCAAAAAATTATTAACACCTTTTGGATTGTCAAAAGCTATTAATTGCATAGCGATGTTATCTGAAACTATCAAGTCCCACCGTTTAGATCTCTATTGTGACAGATTTGGCACCTTAAACAATTTCCAATTTAAAGCAATTAAGTTTTTTGCAGCCAGCCATTAGCATAGTAGAAATTAACTCTTCGTTCTGTTTAGACCGCTTCGGACCTGGCCAAAAATGTAACAAAAGAGATGCAGGTGTATTTGGAATCTCATAATTAGTTATTTCCTTTACTTCAGCAATGACCGTAGTCCAAAACTTTTTAGTTCGGGGACAATCCCACCAGCAGTGTAAGACTTTTTTAAACAACAATTATATAATTAGAATACAAAAAGTGAATACAAAATAAACAATGCTGTGCCCATCGAGGCCTATTGCAAACTCTTGTTCCAATAATGCCATGACACATCAGTGAAAGTTAATGGTATTTGCCAGTTGAAAAACTGACCAGAGACGCTGCATGCTCTTCATCTATCTTCATCTTCGTTTGGAAGAAGAAACTTGTCGAAACGGTAGAATATTCCAGAGATCATCGCTAACAACATCTCTATCGCATCGTTACATTGTTTACTCTATTTTGTATTCACTTTTTGTATTCTGATTATACAACTGTTTAAAAACTTCTTAAGCGCAATCACTATACAGTTTTCCATTTCTTGTGGATTTTCTTCTGGATTGTTTAGTAACTGTGACCATCATTTTGAGCCTGCCGAATAGGGTTGCCATCCCCCCGACGGGGTGGGAGTTCCCCCGCTTTCGGGGGGCCCAGTCAGCAGATGGCCAGCTGACCAGCAGGGGGAGCCCCACCCCCAAAGAGCCCCGTTGTGCCCAATGTACCCGGTGTGATGACGTCACCCAGAGGTGGCATGGGCATGTCGCGGGGGGGGGATGCTCTGGGTGCTCTAGCGTTTGGGTTAAAACTCTATGGTGACCATAGAGGGGCTTTCTTGCCCAAGTGCTAGAGCGTTCCCCCTGCACGATGATGTCACTTCTGGGTGATGTCATTGCATGCGCCAGAAGATCCTGGGACCGGGCAGGAGCGCCCTCGCCGGCAACCAGATAAGACCTGTCCAACCCTATTGCCAAACCATACACAACGCTGGGAGCCTGGGATCAGATCTGCTACCACTTCTATTCTCAAAAAAGAAAGCACCCGGGTTTTCTTTTTGCTTCTCTGTCCCAAACAGTCTTTGGGACATAAGTATCAATTTTGTTGTTAATGCTAATAATAACTGCATCACTTCTTTTGCACGCAGCACGACTGGAAGGACTGATCCACACATTACAAAGCCCTCGGGTCCCCCGCACGTCCAGAGAAGGGGGAGGTTTCAACCTCACCGCCCCACACGCTAGGGTCTTGATCTGAATCTGGCCTGCTCATGCCGGCAAACTTGGTTCTGAGTCTGGAACTTCCAGCACACACTTAATCGACCGGGCTGGGGCCGAGGTAGGATCTTTTGAGGTGTGAATCAGCTCTGACCCAAGTCAGCCTTCAATACAAGCTGTGCTGTCATTCAAGATTTTTCAGAACTGCAGACTTAGGTCTCTATAGTCTCACTATTTCACTAGTAGCTTGGCTTCCCTGTCACCAATGACGCTCAGCACATTTAGAATACTTTCTTACTTTCATTTTGACGGAAAGCAATCCCAAATTTTGTTTAGAATACTTTCTTACTTTCATTTTGACAGACAGCTCTGGTAAATATTCTGTGATACCTTGTCCTCTCTCTCTTGCTGCATATTATGACTGTTAAACTTTAATTAACATTAGCTTATACATTCTGAACATTCTATGTTGTATTGTTAAAAATTTTTGAAGTTTACTGAATGCGGTAATTTAGTTGGTAATTCAGCACTTAACTTCAATAAAAACTTTAAATATTAAAAAAGAACTGCAGACTTATGGGGCTTCTCTGCATACCTTGAAATATCTATTTACCCCCTCTCCCAGCTGCCATTTTAGTTTCCGTACAGGGATTGCCAGCCTCCAGCTTTTCATGCTTGCCCGCTCGCTTCTGCCCGCGCGCGCAAAGTATAATCACTGGCTTGTTTCCACAGGGGGGATGTTTTATTTTCCTATAAGTCTGAAGCCCTTATACTGAAAGCTATTCTTGACACAAGCTGTACACGTGTTCTTTAGTACTGGAACTCCTAATAAACAGTTATCTTCTTATGAAGCCCTGTGTGGTGTTACCTGACTAAGGATCCTGACAGGGAGCTGTGTTGGTCTGCAGTAGAACCATTCGAGACCAGCAACAGTTTCAGGGTATAAACTCTTGAGAGTCAAAATTCCCAGATTTAAATAAAATGTAATAATTTTTTTAAAAACAACAACAACATTCCCTTTGTCAGACACAGTTGAATAGAAGTGGAGATCCAAGATCTCAATGGGACGCGAGAAATCTGCACTCTGAAGGCTTAAAAAGCAGCTATTGATGCTTCATTTCGGAAGCACAAATCAGCCAGCAAGAAGGCTGCGTTCCCTCGCCTATAATGGACTTGAACCTCCAGCTACCCTGCCAATATATTTAAAGTTCATGATGGTTCCCCGATATCAAGATTTTTTGGGGGGCTGCTAGACTGAATACTGCATTAACTCCAGAAATGGAAGGTCGCTTTTCGGGAGTTCCCTATTCAGAACACACGGGTGTTTTTGTAATACGGGGAAGAGATAGGCATCTCTGCTCATCTAGTTATCGAACGTGCCGTATTCAGTGAGGAGAGACAGAGATGGATTACCCCGATACTTGAGAAGAATGAGCTCACAAATATTAATAAGCACCTTTCTTTTCTTTTATGAGATAAGGACCCATATATCATCAGGCAGGGGTCATTTCATAGAAAAAGAGGTGCAGGAGCTCATTAGCATAACTCATTAGCATAACTTATTTGCATATGCCATGCCCCCTGACATCACCGGAAGTGTGTCAAAAGGCAACACCCACCGCTCAGGAGCCACTGGACTGTTTTGGATTGCTAGCTATTTGGGGGGGGGACATGCAGATCTGCCCTCACAGAGGAGGGAGAGCTTGTACCTGAAGGCGGGCCGGGGGGGGGCGGGTATGCAACTTACCTGGCTGCTTCTTTCTCCTTGTGGCCCGACTGAGGGCTGCTGGGAGCAGGGGGTGTGGCTTGTTGCATGTGCCCGCCCCCTGGGCTCCTTACTGCCAGAGCTCCGCTCCTGTGTGCTCCTGCAGGAAATGACCCCTGGTTCAACCCCACCTTAAGGCATAATAACACAGTACAATGTTTAAAGATCAGTCTAACATTCTTGTAACAATATGTTGTCGGAGGCTTTTACGGCCGGAGTTCGTTAGCTGTTGTAGATTTTCCGGGCTGTGTGGCCGCCGTCTTGTAGGACCGGACGTTTCGCCAGCAGCTGTGACGAGCATCCTCAGAGGTATGACACGGAAAGAGGGAGTACTCTCTGTGTCACGCACCCTTGAAGGATTTCTGGGCTGGAGGGTTTCTGGGCTGCCCCTCCGGCTGCCTACCAGCTCCCCCAAGCTTGCCAAAAGCCGCCCAGTCCCCCCGAAAAAAAGAAAGCTTGTAAGTAAAGGGGTTTCATTTAATCTGGCCCTTCCTTACCTTTGACGCTCATCATGCTCACCATGGCCAGCAGAAGCACGCAGACCAGCAGGAGGGCGAGAGTGGCACACAGCCAGTTGGGTGTCTCTGGGAGCAAGGCACGGGCGGAAGAGAAGGGAGAGAGAGAGGCGTGAGAGAAGCCAGCTGTCCTCGGCAAGGATTCCGAGGTCCCTTCTGCACGAGACCTTCGATCCTGGCTCAGCCCTGTCCCCGAACGTACATTCTACGCTACACGTGAGTTCACCCCTGTAATTATCTCGGGGTATTTTTTGCTTCCACATTACGCTGAGGTCACCACCCCGGTTTCGCCCCACTCTTGTCCCAGGATGATGATGATGAAAATGATGAAGAAGAAGAAGAAGAGGAGGAGGAAGAAACCTTTGTTGGTCTTCAAGGTGCCCCACCGGGCTCTGAATTGGTTTCTGACACAGAGGGAGCTTTGACTCTCAAAAGCTTAAAACTCTGAAATGCTTGTTGCTCTCTAAGGTGTTTCAGGGCTCAAATCTAACTGGTCACTTTTCAATCAAACTCATTTCCTGTTTGGCTGGTCCCGCCCCTGCCCCACAACCGCCTGCCCCTCCGCTTACCTTGCCAGCGTAGTAGAACGGGAACCAGTACAAGGAGGTGTCGGAGAAGAATTCGGCCACGCTGAAGAGGCCGTACACCACCCAGTAGGTCAGCCACGTCGTATCGTCATCCTTGGAGGAACTCTCGATGGCTTTGATGCTGAATATGGAATTGAGAGATGACGGTAACGAAGGCAGGCCAAGGAGACCATGTCCCCCACCCCACAATCTCAGTAATGCTTTTGGTTTTGCAAAGATCTGCCTGCAAGAGATGAGGAGATCGGTTCCCCCCCTGCCTAAGCTACTCCGTGTTTTGAGTATAAAATGGAGGGGCAGAGATCTACAGAAACCACCCCTGAGGTTCAGTGGAAGAAAAGACAGGATAAAAACGTTGACTGACAAAATAAATAGATGGTGGTCTCTAGATCCCGAATCTTCTCATCTGGCTTAGGAAACCCCCCCTACACACACCATAATCTTGGGCATTGTGGTGCTAACCCCCACCCATTTTCCCGGCAGAAAAAAGCCACATGTGTATGCAGGGGTCATTTCGTAGAAAAAGAGGTGCAGGAGCTCATTACCATAAATCATTAGCATAACTTATTTGCATATACCACGCCCCCTGACATCACCGAAAGTGTGTCAGAAGGTGACACCCACCGCTCAGCCTCCACTGGATTGTTTTGGACTGCTAGCTATTGAAGGGGGGGGGGGAAACGTACAGATCTGTCCTCGCAGAGGAGGGAGAGCTTGTACCTGAAGGTGGACGGGTCCCCCCTCTGCAACTTACCTGGCTGCTTCTTGCTCCTCATGGCCCAACTGAGGGCTGCTGGGAGCAGGGGGCGGGGCTTATTACATGTGCCCGCCCCCTGGGCTCTTTACTGCCAGAGCTCCACTTCTGTGCGCTCCCGCAGGAAATGACCCCTGCATGTATGGCACTCGTTAGCCAAGGTTGCCAGCCCATCAGAAAACCAAGCATCCACACACTGTCTTGGTCGGCAGCGCTCCCTCTAAGCTGAGTTAGCGTGAGCTAGCTCACAGTTCTTTAGCCTCCGGCTCACATTTTTTTGCCTTAGCTCAGGAAGGGCAGCTCTGGAGCAAAACTAATTTAGGCAGCAGCCAAATGACCTGCTCACATCAACTTTCATGCCGGTAGCTCAGAAAGTAGAATGCTTTGCTCACAAGACTGCACAGCTTAGAGGGAGCATTGCTGTGCAGTGCCATTTGTTTCCAAGCAGGCTGGTACAATACCAAGGACGGGGCTGGCTTCCCCTTTCCCAAAACTTTGTTTTGTTAAAGCCAAATTCAGGAGCTTAAAAGAGGGATTCTGCTCTTCCCCGCCTAGAAACCCCAGAAGTCTCCATTCCAGCAACTTACAAAAATGTCACTAGGGCACCCTGACCTGGGCAGCCCAGGCAAGCCCTATCTCCTCAGATCTCGGAAGCTAAGCAGGGCTGACTGTGGTTAGTACTGGATGGGAGACCTCCAAGGAGTACCAAGTTGGGAGGACAGAGGCAGGCGCTTTATTCAGCCACCTCTCTCAATATCCTCCAGGCCCCCAGTAGGTCACCATGACTTCCAGGTGCACACACACTCACATGCGCACACACACACACAAATGCAAAAAAATAATAATAAACGTAAATCCCAAAATGTCACTAAGGCAACTCAAACAGAGAGAGTGACTCATCACCCCAGTGAGTTTCATGGTGGAAGAGCTTTGAACCCAGGATTTCCTGGCCTTAGTTTTTGATACTTCACCCCCTATGCCGCACCCGTCTCCCCCAAGGTCGCTCCTGAAGCGTAATTCCCATGCCAAGGAAGAGGAACACGAGACTGAGAAAGGGCAACATCCTGGTTCCTGAAATGGGTACTTACGAAGCATAAGCTGGATAGACAAAGCCGATGAGATTGCAGAGGAGCGAAGCCCCATATCCAAACATCAGGTAGAGCCCCAGGAAAGCGATGGAACCTGTGGAGGTTGAAGGGAGGAGGTTGGCAAAAGAACAGAGAATTCCTTTCTCATCTACTGCGTATCGATTTGAGCCCGGCTGGACAGGATGAGACGTGACCCTAAGCCCAGGGCCCTCAAAATCTACGGAAGTGGGGGCCCCAGGTGGTCAACACAGGGTCATTCTTATTTTATTTATATATTTAGACTTGTATCCCGCCCTTCCCGCAAGCAGGCTTGGTGTCAGGGTTTTTAGTCAGGTAACACCACACAGGGCTTCATAAGAAGATAACTGTTTATTAGTAGATCCAGTACTAGAGACACGTTTACAGCTTGTGTCAGGAATGGCCGCCTATACAAGGGCCTCTGACTTATACTAGACTCAAACACCCCCCCGGTAAGCATAAGCCAATGGATATGGTTTGCACGGGTGGGCAAACACTTTGGGGGGGGGTCCCCCAAGAATATTAATATTAACAGTACAATTAAAACCACTTAACAGTATAAAACAGCACAGAATCCTAAGACACCATGTAAAATCTGATCAGATGTCTCAGCGATTCAGATGGGTCAGGAGTGTGGGTTCCCAGATGGCTATTCGAAACATGCAAAGGCTCATGGGGATCCTTCTGAAAGACTCACCATGACCTAGGTGGTCTACAGCAGGACTGGGCTAGCAGAAAGAGGGGTTGCTGGAGATGTATTGAGGGTACCGCTCTCAAGTGCCCTTCTAAGCTTTCGTGCCCTGTGGAAGTGAACCCAGAAGGCATTTAAATGTCTTCTGAAGGCAATAAAATGCCCTCGGAGCTGTTTTTTTCTAGGAACTGATGGGCTCGCTGCCCTGTCCCTTGAAAGGAAGGACTAGAAATAGGCACGGAGCCTCCCCTTTTAAAGACAGGCATTCAGGGGCTGCGGTGGTTCAAGTGGTTAAGATGCTGAGCTGCAGACTAGAAGGTCGGTAGTTCAGCAGTTCAAGACCCGAGTGCCGCACGACGGAGTGAGCTCCTGTCTTTGCTCCCAGCTCCTGACAGCCCTAGCAGTTCAAAAGCAAGAAATTGCAAGTAGATAAAGAGGTACCACTTCGGTGGGAAGGTAACAGCGTTCTGTGCGCCTTGGTGTTTAAAAAAAAAAAAGACAGGCATTCAGATTAATTTAACTTTAGTCAACTGCCCCCTTAAAAATTTAAATGCCGCCCGAACAAAAAGAATCCTGGCTGTGGGCCAGTCGCAGCACAGATGGGCTCCAGTCCTTGTAATGTATTCAATAGCTGCCACTGAATGCATGATGTATGTGAAACATCTAATTGACTTGCCATGTTGAGCTTCGTCCTGGGCTAGGATCCAAATCCATCCAACCCTCAAAAACACACTTTAACCGTCACCTCCCGGGCTGGGCGGGAGACCTCCCGGGCTGGGCGGGAGACCTCCCGGTTTGTCCGGGAACTTCCTGTGGAAACAACGAAGCAGGTAAGGGGCCCGAATATCCCCTTCTTCCACCCATTCGCGGTGCTGGGGACCGAAATCAACCCACTCAATGAGGTACCAGAGTTTACCACGCTTCAGCTTGGAATCAAGGATATCAGCGATTTCAAAATGCTCATCCCCCTCAAGGATGATCGGA